TCACAGACCCTGAAAAAGCCCTCGTTCAATAATAATATTATAATACGTATAACTTGAATTGAGGGGACCCAAAAATAATCATAGGTGTGTGTTAATTTTTTTTGATGGGTGAAAATGGTATGGTAACCCCGCCCGCGCTAACGGGATACGCTGGCGGAGCACCAGTGATGGGTGATAGATGAGAATGAAAACAGGCCAGTTGGCCCATCACGATAAATTCATCAGGAATTAACCATGATAGTTTCCAGGGGGAACCGCGAGGAGGTCGACCTGGTTGGGTATATTGCTAGCAATAGGATTCTCAGTCTCCATTACTAACAATCCCTTTCCCCCGGTGTGTGTTAATTAGGTACATACATAATGGTATGCAAATACAGTTATGAACAAATTTCCATATAACGGTAAAATAGAGACAGACATACGTGGGAGTGTATTGATTTATCTCTCTTTTGAACGATCAATGGGCGACTTCTTTAGTTTGCGTTGTACCTTTTGTAGTGACTCCAAGAAAAGTCGGTTATCAATTCGCTTGTACTTTTTTTTTATGTTTATTACCTCATAACTCCGTCGGTTGTAAACCGATTTCGAAAATTCTTTTTTTATCTGAAAGGATATACTTACAGGTTGGTTTCGTCATCATCATTCCAGCCCATTATCCGTTTACTGCTGGACATAAGCCTCCCTCATAGACTGACATAAAGAACGGTCCTGAGCCACCTGCATCCACTGACTCCCTGCAATGCATTTGAGGTTGTTACTCTATCTAGTCGGGGTCGTCCTACACTGTGTTTACCTCGTGATCGTCACTCAAGAACCTTTCTTCCCCATCGGTTGTCAGTTCTTCCAGCTATGTAACCAGCCTATGGCTACTTCAGCTTGCTTATCCTTGGTTTGGTTGATTGGTTTCATAGAAATATTATAAAAATCGGTTCAATTAATCCCTATTTTATATATTATCTGGTCGACTTCCACGCGGTTCCCCCTGGAAACTATCGTGACTAATTTATCGTTGAATTCGTCACGATGGGCTAACTGACCTGCTTACATCCTCACCTATCGTCCCTCACTGGTGCCCCACCAGTGTATACCGATAGCGCAGGCGGGGTCATCGTTCTGCTATTACTAATATCAGAATTTTAATCTTATCCATTCAGTAGTTTTTGCGTGAAAGAGTAACAAACATTTTAGTTATTTGATTAGAATTAATTTGTTTAGGAAATAAACAAAATAATAGATAGGTACTAATGTTAAAATGTTCCAAATCACTTTAAAAAATAAACTTAAAAAAGTCTTATTGGAGAAACAAATTCAAAACAGCTGAGAAACTGACGCTTCACGTTCTTTTTTTTTTATTCTTTTTTTATGATGCTGTCATTGTGAAGTGCGATAATTTATTCAGAGTTTGTTCTTTTCAGTTTTGGTTGTAATGTTTTATGTATTTGTTGTAATGTTTTATGTATTTGTTGTAATGTTTTATGTATTTGTTGTAATGTTTTATGTATTTGTTGTAATGTTTTATGTATTTGTTGTTAAGCGTGTTGAGTCTCCCATCCGAGGAATAGGTATTGGCGACCAGCACGCATGCTAAAGGTAAAGGAGTTAAGGGGCCGCCTGAAAATCACCGCTATATAGGTACATCTCGCTGGAGCTGTACATATGGTATATAGCAACAGCCGAGGCGGCTCCAGCAACCAGCAACATTAATTGTCTTTTTTTTTCTTTTTGTTGTTTTAATTTTTTATTTTCTTAATATTGGTAATAAAGGTTGTCTGTCTATCTATCTATGGTACTAATCAAATAACCAGTGAGATGGACTTCTGTAAGATAACAACTAATTTAGTTAAATATTAACAGTATTATTATAATAGTAGAGTTGTTTTACCATATACATTATTTCTAGAACTATACATGAAAATTTATCATACTACAATTATTACATTCGATTGCCATCTTGCAACCCCTATTGCGGCATATAAAAATCGGGGTTGATCGTAAAAGGGTGAAAACTTGAGGTTATATGTATTTTTTATGCTAAATCAAAATAAAATAAAAATGAAAAGATTTGTAAAAAAAATAAAAAAAAAATTTTGGGGAGGGACACCCTTATTATTGAGGGGTATGAAAAATAGATGTTGGCCGATTCTCAGACCTACCCGATACGCACACAAAATTTCATAAAAATCGGTAAAGCCGTTTCGGAGGAGTTTGGTAACAAACACCGCGACACGAGAATTTTATATATAAGATAGAAATAAATAACGCGAAACCAGGACGGACTAATGTTCGATTAATTATCAAATTTTAATTTTTATCTAACGTACATCCGCGGTATTTACATAGTAATTCCCATTACCATATACATATTAGTTTGTTTTGAAACCGGTCGAGTTCAACGTTCGCTAACTATTGAACTTAACTATTTGGGAGCAATGTGGCTTAGGGCCTTCATAACCATTATAATAAGCGGTTATTTCCCATTGCTTTGGTAATATCATAAATAAAATATGATGTAATTATAAATCTGTGGATATAATTAACACATTTCTCTTTAGGGGCGTGTATGGGCATGATTAAATTAGCAGTTATTTAAGATGGTTATTTAAAAAGTAATGTATCCAAATGGTTTATTCTTGCATTATACAGATAGAGACATCTATACGAAAGTGCTTCGAGAAAAAAGTGACAACTTTTTCATACAATTTTGCGTGATAAATAGTTATGAGTGACTTTTTTTCTTATGCAACTTAGAATGGCAAACAAGCTGACGGCCCACCTGATGGAAAGTGGTAACCGTCGCGTATAGACATGAGCAGTACCATGGACATAACAGAGTATACTGTTTCGCCCATGATTACGCCCCATGCGTTGCCATTCCCGAGGACTCAGGTGTTATTCCTCTGTACCCTGTAAATTTACTGCCATGTTCCACCCTTCAAACCGAAACGCAGCCATGCATACACAATTGCTTCACGGTGGAAACACGAATGTGACAGAGGTGTCCAAGCAATCGACTTTTGTACAGTCTCCCTCTGATTCCTTTATAACTTCTATATTTATTTTGTTTTATATTTTATATTTTTTTACATTAAATTCCCAATTTGAAAGAAAGTATCAAAACAGTGTAAGGCCAGTTAACCCATCGTGATAAATTCACCAGAAACCAACCGGAATGTTTTAAGTAGGGACGTCTGCCCGCCTGATTTCTTAGCAATACACCCACGAGAAAGGAAAAGTGATTTCCACGCGGTTCCCCCTAGAAACCATAGTAATTACGTCTTGTTCAATTGGTCACTATGAGCCAACTGATCTATCTTCATTCACACCTGTCACCTTTCACTGGTGTCCCGCCAGCATATACCGATACCGCAGGCGAGGGTAGCATTCCATCTTCACCCATTAAAAAAAAACTACCATTCTTTTATCATGCATTCACCATCAGGTGGGCCGTCAGCTTGTTCACCGTTCCAAGTTTTTTTTTTATACAACTTAGAATGGCAAACAAGCTGACGGCCCACCTGATGGAAAGTGGTAACCGTCGCCTATAGACATGAGCAGTACCATGGACATAACAGAGTATACTGTTTCGCCCATGATATCCCCCATGCGTTGCCATTCCCGAGGACTCAAGTGTTATTCCTCTGTACCCAGTAAATTCACGCCATATCCCACCCTTCGAACCGAAACACAGCCATGCAAACACAACTGCGTCACGGTAGAAACACGAATGGGACAGAGGTGACCAAGCAAACGACTTTTGTACAAAGTCTCGATCTGGTAAATAATAAAAGTCGTATAATAATAAAAATTTTAAATGTCCACATCTAAACGTGAACCTCTTCATAGATCAAACATTTATTGACTCCATCTAGAAACAGGTTTGTGATCGATAACGCCGTCCTAACTTAACGGTGCAATAAGCTGGCCGTTTGACCGTTAAGTTTTTATAGCTAGACCGTTTTCCCGTTAGTTTGTCCAGATTTATACGGCAGAGGTCGCAAGTTCGAATCTGGATGGCACTGTACATAATTTGTTTTTAATCATTTATAATAATAATAATAAAAATAAATCATTCCAATCGCTTTGTCGGTGAACGGTCTTATCCCAACCAGTCTGGAACAACATCTCGGACGGTTGGGATTCCGAGGCGGATCACTCCCGGGAAAGATGCAGAAAGCGGTGCTCTTAGATACTGCCCGCATTGTACGCCGGTCTCTCTCGCTGGGGCCCTGAACCCCGGCCGACTGTGCTTCTGCTGGGGGTTAGTTTGCCATCTCCTCTCCTTAAGAGGGGAGATGTGTATTTTCTAGAAACAAAAATAATGTCAATGAACGGTTTTATCCCAACTAGACTGGAACAACATCTCAGACGGTTGAGATTCCGATCATTGTGTTTTTAATATGTGAAAATAGGGGGGAAAGGGATTGTTAGTAATGTAGACTGAGAATCCTATTGCTAGCAATATACCCAACCAGGTCAACCTCCTCGCGGTTCCCCCTGGAAACTATCATGGTTAATTCTTTGAATGAATTCATCACGATGGGCTAACTGGCCTGTTTTCATTCTCATCTATCACCCTTCACTGGTGCTCCGCCAGCGTATCCCGTTAGCGCAGGCGGGGTTACCATACCATTTCACCCATCAAAAAAAAATATGAGAAAATAGAATATCAACCTCGCCTGCGCTATCGGTATACACCGGCGGGGCACCAGTGACTGATGATAGGTGAGGATGAATCAGATCAGTTAGCCCATCGTGACGAATTCAACAAGAATTGTTCACGATGGTTTCCAGGGGGAGTCACGTGAAGGTCGACCTTATAGGGCATATTGTTAGCAATTGGCTTGTAGAACTCCATTGCTAACAATCCCTTTCCCCCCTAAAATATTAAGTTGTTTTTTTCCTAGGCATTTACCCTCCACCTCACCACGTCATTGAATAGAATTTATAAAAAAAAAAAAGAATTTGTCACAAAACTTTGAAGTTATGTTTGTTTGTTACAGATTTTGGACACAAGATGGCGTTGAATACGATATGTCATCTTTTTCTGCTTGTGATCACCGTCCAATACGGGGCCGCATCTAACTTATTAAGTAGAAGTGAGTATCGATTATTGTGTAGACAGATAGATAGATAATTTATTTACATTACTTACAGCACACAAATTACAATACAAACATACACACACAATACACAGTAAAAGAGATAAAAGAATGAAAAACGAAAAATAAGCAACAAAAAAAAAACATAAAGCAAAATATATAAAACAACAATTTCTTTTTTTCATGCATGTGCCGTAGTAACACAAAATGGTCACAACTCAGTTTATTGCTTTGCCCTCAAAAGAGCTAAACACTGATATTCTGTTGTGGCCAAGAGTCAGTCGCGAAATTCCTTATTAAAAATAATAATAAAAAGAAATATGAATAAAATGCATTGTGTGTATCCATTACATTTGCCCCCATTCGTGTACAGTAGTATTTATATTTTTAAAAAGTTGTTGAGGAAGTTCGCAACTGTAAATATTCCTTCTGTGATGTAACTGGCAACTCAAGTAACAATTATTTGTCGTACTGACGTCGATTTTCAGTCACTGATCCTGAAATAATTTAGAAATGACATCTTATTTGAGTCATAGACGTCATGTTGCTGAGAAACGCACTGGACTTTTAATAGGGATGATGATGGAATGGTAACCCCGCCTGGGCTGTCGATATACGCTGACAGGACACCAAAAAGGGGTGGTAAATAAGGATGAAAGCAATTAATTTACAGGATTAACAGTGAATTTACAGGGTACAGAGGAATAACACCAGAGTCCTCAAGAATGGCAACGCATGGAGGGTATCATGGGCGAAACAGTATACTCTGTTATGTCCATGATATTGCTCATGTCTATAGGCGACGGTTACCACTTTCCATAAGGTGGGCCGTCAGCTTGTTTGCCATTCTAAGTTGTATAAAAAAAGGCCAGTTGGCCCATCGCGACGAAGGTTTCCACAGAGGATCACGTGGAAGTCGACCTTATAAGGTTTGTTGTTAACAATGATCCCAAGATAAAATCTTGGCCTGAACCAAATCATCGGTCCGAGGCTGGAACGGATTTGAAAATTCAAATTCATGTCTCAATCCACCCAAGACCCAATGTCTTTTAAAATAATAGTCACTCCGTGCTCCGGGAAGCACTTAAAGTCGACGTCTAAGGTAGTCATCAATCTCTCAAGGGTAACTCATTACCCTGGAAAGGTCAAAAGGTGATACTCACACACAACTAGAAATAATTGCCTAATAATTACAGTACAAGTTCTGTTTAGTCTCTAGAGTGCGCTGTAATAAATCAAGAGCGTCACCTGCATTCATCGAGTGCCTGCAACAAATTTGAGGTTCTTTACTCTAAAATGGTATAATTATAATATTATACAGCAATCCGTCAAGCTCCAGGGAGCATCTTCACTGTGGGGAGCGGCGAGCCGTGTCTGGGATCGGACAGGAGCACCGGCGGAGTCTGTCTGTCCAGGAACCAGTGTAACACCCAGGGTGGGAAGGCTATCGGCTTTTGCGGAGTCTTCGCTACTTGCTGCTCTTGTAAGTATAACTAGTCAGACAATCTTGTTGGAAGACCAGTAAAGTTTTATATTTGGGCGTCACAGTGTATTCTGTGACATCCACAGACCACTTTCAATGATATAGATCGTCAGCTTCTTTACCCACTATATTCTGTAAAGTTGTCTGTAAGAGATTGCTTTTGGCAATAAGCTCGCGTTTTGTAATTGCTCATTTTGTCTCCATATTCTATACTAGCTACTTCCCGCAGCTTTGCCCACATAAATGAATACATAATGTATCCCATACAATAATTTAGGATGTAACCTAGCCATCTACTTTTATCCAAATCCGTATTTTGTGGGTACTAAAGAATTTGTTATATCATGTTATTCCAAATTGTACAATATAAGAAATAAAAAAATATTTTAAATAAGAAGATGCCACATTGTTTCGAGCATGTAGTAAGAATATTAGGTAAAAAAAAGCAGACCAGTGAAAAGCGAAAGCGATATCATATCGTTATAGTCGTAGAATACTGACGAATCTGACAAAGATTACATTATATAGATCCGTCAGTATTCTACGACTGTGACGATATAAGTGCTAGGAGAGGACGAGACTGACATATTATGACCAGATACAACATTCTCTATCCTTCTAAGAATCGCCCCCTAAGAAGGAAGAAACAAGATTTCCTGGAACAGGCGTCTACAAGCGTTAGACGAATTATGAAAACCAAACAAATAAGAGCTATGTGTAAGGAAAGGACTTTATGCTCGGTTCCTTTACCTGATAAGTACCCTAGAGCGAAGGTTTTATACTTTTTAAACAAATCTTTAATCAATCGAAAGCTAGTTATGCAGAAAACAGAAAAATGCTATTTTTTGTATTCATCTCGGATAATGTGGCTGTTTTTTTTTGCATCATACCAGCCGTTAACTCTCCACTGCTGTACAAAGCCTTGCTCATTAGATGGGTTTTGCCAATAGATACCACGCTTGGCATGCAGGTTGGCGACCGCAGTTATGCCCTTGGTGATGTTTTAAGACGAACGTTATTGACTATACCTTGACTATTAAGTTCCCTTAGTTATCTCTTAGGATACTTACGAAAAAGGAAGAGGTTGTGTTGTTCCAGCATCGAATGGCTCCTTCCTTTCTCTTTTTTTGCATAACTAACTCCAATTACGATACCTCTAATACTTACCTCTAAACTTTTACAAGAGACTTTATAATTAAGGATAATATCTTTGCTCTGATAGTGAACGCATGCGACGTGAGAACCAACACGAAGGTCGCTGTCTTCATCAACCCGCCGCTCAACAAGGAGTCGTCAGGCCTCGAGTGCTCCTACAACGTGGAGATTAACAACAACAACGTCTGCCAGATGCGGATCGACTTCGAAACCTTCAACCTGGCACCGCCCACCACTGTTAGTTCTATTTCTTTTGTTACTATTACAATGTTTGCCAATTTAAACCCTATTTCGCAGGTTGAATAACATTTGGAAGCAGCAAAGGCATGAAGGTAATATTTGTGATGCTAATGGGCAACGTTCATCATATTCTATTATGTATTTTATATGAGTCTGCGCTGTACATGTCTATAACCGATAGCTATCACTTTCCATCATATGAACCGTTTATGTGTGTAGGCTACCAACCTCTTTAAAACCTATGTAGTTGCAGAGTAATAAACAGTGACGTTCTTGACAATCTTTTTGTCTTAGCAATTTTACCGAACTATATTTTGTATCGCGACTTATTATATCTGGATGTATTTACTGTAAATATTATTAATTATACAATCTCGTACTAAATCTTTCTTTATCTCACTCCTTCTGAATCTATATATAAATATCATCAAGCCCACGTCTACACCACATGTGTAATGATAAAAAATGATGCTTAAAGTCCTTCCGTTACTTACTTTTCCTTAAAAATCTTTTAACTCTTCATCGCTTTGCACGAGATTCTCTCAATAAGATTTAGCATATAAATCCCATGCTGGTCTAGTGACTTGGTACACCAAGCCATCTGAAGTTTTACTTCAAACAATCCTAATCCTTTGCTGGTTTGTTATCTTAGTTGCCTCTAACGAGATCTTGGAAAATAAATAGTGTAATGCCATTATGTACTGTTGCTCCGTCATCACACAAAATTTGTTCGAATTACACCCAGGTAATAGTAAATTGTACCTTAATCCATGATCAGTAGAAACGATACTCCAACTCTTTCTTCTTCTGATATAAAGGTCTTAAGTTAGCTATTAGGTTTTGGAAATAGGTTAAGTATTCAGAAACCTTGTTTGATACACCTATCATCAACAACATTGCCTTGATCTTCTTTCTTTCTATGGTCTTTCATAAATCCATGTCAGCTGTCATTTCCAGGCTCACTCCTTTTTAAGTCTTCTTCTTCCATAAATCCCTATCAGTTCTCATTTCCGGACTCACTCCGCTTTTATGCATATCATTTCTCACACAGTCCATCCACCTTTTCTTCAGTCGCCCCCTTCCTTTACATCCATGCACTTTCATATTTAACACTCGTTTAAAATAGGCTTTCATTTCTATAGTGCCATCATGTACCTAATAATAAAATATTAATAATTTTTTAGATCGAACCTGTTGAAAACGTGACCCAACGCCCTGGTTATACGTGCAGAAATGACATCTTCCAAGTCACTAACCTGCAAGCCAACTCTGACTTCTTACCAGCGCTGTGCGGTGACAACAATGGACAGCATTGTAAGATCTGAGTTATCAGAATCTGAATTTACAGGGTACAGAGGAATAACACCTGAGTCCTCAGGAATGGCGACGCGTGGGGAGTATCATGGACGAAACAGTATACTCTGTTATGTCCATGGTACTGCTCATGTCTATAGGCGACGGTTACCACTTTCCATCAGGTGGGCCGTCAGTCTGTTTGCCATTCTAAGTTGTATAAAACAATTTACTGATTTTATAAATGTGAAGGCCTGGAGATATTAGGATGTTTGTTACTTAATCCCACTTAAAGTTTTGAACGAATTAAAATGAAATTTAGTACGTACATTATAAACTCGTAGATTACTTTTTATTCTGATTGAAGTGGACAAAACTGCGGGTTACAGCGAGTATTTTGTATTCGAGCAAGCCTCATTTTCCACCAGAAATTACGTCGCCGATCCAAATTACCAGAATCTACTTAGGCTCTCGAATTAAACAGTCAAAAACGTTAAGAAATACTCCATTCCATCTGGTAAGCAAATTGCTTACCAGAGGGAGACTATATACAAAAGTCGTCTAGTCGTATATCTCTCTCCCACTTGTGTTTCTACCATGAAAGGGCTGTGTTTACATGGTTGTATTTCAGTTTGAAAGTTGAAGTATACCAGTAAAATTATACGGTATGGAAGCATAACCCCAGAATCCCCAGGAACAGAAACACACATGGTAGTATATGGTAAAGCGTATGGTAGTACCATAGACATTGTGCTATAGACATAAATCGCCGGTGTTCGATATTCAAGTCTATAGCTGACTGTCATTACATTCCATTAGATGGGTCTTTAACTTGTTTTCCATTCTAAGTAATATAAAAAAGAACCTTAAAATTAATCGTTTCCTTACCTCTTCTTCTTCTTCCCGAAATAGAACCCTAACTCTCGGGTTTTTTTTTTATGGGTGAAAATGGTATGGTAACCTCGCCTGCGCTAACGGGATACGCTGGCGGGGCACCAGTGAAGGGTGATAGATGAGAATGAAAACAGGCCAGTTAGCCCATCATGATGAATTCATCAGGAATTAACCATGATAGTTTCCAGAGGGAACCGCGAGGAGGTCGACCTGGTTGGGTATATTGCTAGCAATGGGATTCTTAGTCTACATTACTAACAATCCTTTCCCGCCCCCCTAACTCTCGGGTGTCTTAAATGATTTTACAATATTTTTTTTTCTGTTTCCAGTATACGTACGTGTGAATGCATCCACAAACAGCCGGTCCATCCGTATCAACTTCAAGATAGCTGATCGCAACACCCAGCCCAACCTGCCACAAGCCACATGGAAGATCAAGGTCACTCAGTTGGAGTGCTTCAACACATTAGGGTAAATATTTACCCCCTTATTAATTTACCATTGGGTAAAATATGTGTTATTCTCTTCGACCGTCGTCCATATGGTACAGTTTCAATTTTATGACAAAAATCATATCTGTTCAAGTCAACTGGAGAGTCGACTCTTCAGGGTTGACAATTATGCTGTCCATAGCACAGCCCATGTCTACATACATACACACATGTCCAAGTTTTCAATACAGTTACAATTTTCCATCACGTGGACCTTGGATCCATTCCTTGTTCGGCTTGAACGATGGCTTGTTTTTCAGTCTAAGTATCAGAAAAAAAAGCTATCTTGATGTTACTGGCGTCAAAAGTCACATTTGCCTTTAACTGTCCACTGTTGAAAGTAGTTGCCACGCTTGGCAGACGGTTTGGCAACCGCAGTTAGGCTTTGGAGAAGTTTTAAGAGGGACGCTGCTGCCCATCCCTCGCCCTCCTTTAGTCGACTCTTACGACACCCACGGGAAAGGAAGGGGTGGGCTATCCTATGCCGGGACCACACGGCCATTATCTTACCTTAACTACTGTCTCGGAGTAATCATCAATGAATTATCGAAGGCACAAATCTATGAGTGATTTTCTCTTTCAGAAAATACCGAGACGGACTCTTTGAAGCTATTACCTCGTCATTGCCAGCGACTCCCCTTACATCGTCTGCTGACAGAGATGAATATTTAATTGGTTGGTACTGCTTCTGCTTTCGTAACATATATTTAACGTAATAAAATTAATTTATGAGAAATGATTAATTCATTAACGGTACTATAGGTGTTCACGGTGCTGGTCATGTCTATAGGCGACGGTTACCACTTTCCATCAGGTGGGCCGTCAGCTTGTTTGCTGTTCTAAGTTACATAAAAATGCTCAAGAATGGCAACTTATGAGAGATACAATTGGGATCAACGTGTATTCTGTTATGTCCACGATGGAAATTGGTAATCGTCGCCTATAGACATGAACAGTGCTCATGTCTATAGTCGACGGTTACCACTTTCCACCAGGTGGGTCGTCAGCTTGTTTGCCATCCTAAGTTATTTATATAAAATTAAAGTTGCCACGTATGTGCCACGTCTAGTAATTCCTGAACACCATTATGGTTAATTCCTGGTGAATTTGTTACGAGGGATCAACTAACCTAACTGTATCATCACCTGTGATCCCTCACTGGTGCCCCGCCAGCAAATACCGTTAGCACAGACGGGGTTACCATTCCATTATCATCCATTAAAAAAATATAGTACCTTTATAACCTCCTCTAATTTTTATGTCTACCATCAGCTCCACCTGGCTGCCTGCAGTACTACCCTGACCGGTCAGGTGCATTCGAGTCCTTCAATTACAACCGAGGAAGTGGACCCTACATCGCCAACTTGGCTTATGCTGCTTGCTTCAAAAGAACGCCTGATGTTTGTGGTGTCAAGTAAGTGCATCATTCTTATATTATATTATATTCTTTATTGCACTTGTAAATTACATTGTTAATGCATTTATAAATATTGTGAGCAAGGGTGAACTTATCTCTGACAGAGATCTTTTCCAGTCAACCCGATACAGTTGGAAACCATGTCGTTAGCGGGCAGCTGAAGTGCTACAACTGTTAATATTTAGTGTACATAAACAAATATACAGTTAAATAAAATATTAAGATACATAATAAAATATTACATAAATACATATACTATAAATAAATATAATACCTACCTACTTATACAATAGACGTTAAAATAAATGAATATACTACCTACAATAGAAATTTAGTTGAATGATTTTAAGGTTTGACAGTTCAATTAGAAAAATGAAAAATTAAGATTATGACTCAAATATTATTATACCATTCGTGTTTCAACCGTGAAGCAGTTGTGTTTGCATGGCTGTGTTTCGGTTTGAAGGGTGGGATATGGCGTGAATTTACTGGGCACAGAGGAATAACACCTGAGTCTTCAGGAATGGCAACGCATGGGGGGTATCATGTGCGAAACAGTATACTCTGTTATGTCCACGGTACTGCTCATGTCTATAGACAACGGTTACCACTTTCTATCAAGTGGGCCGTCAGCTTTTTACAAACATAAAATGTATTTTTCTTCTTTCTTCTTCTAGATTAACAGCAGCCAGCTTTGAGATGGCGTACCGTTCGGAAGACAATCTCTACCTGGACACAGACTGTCAGATCAATCCAGTCACGCAGGGTACACCGCAGTCGGAAGACTACCTCTTCATCCCAGAGTCCGAAACAGCCGACGGACTCCGAGGCTCCAAGTTCTGTGGAAGCAGCGCTTCGAACCAGATTATAGCTTGTAAGGATTTTTTTTCTTCAATACACATTTTTTATTAGTTTTGTTTGAAAAAAGCTAAGTTTTTCGTTCTTCTTAGCATTCCGAAATGCATTACCCAAAAACTACTGCTTCAAACTGGATGTAGTTTTCAACGGCATAGTCCCTGAAGGTCTATCTTAAAATCAGATGCATGTTTCATCCTGATATCCATCTGGAAGATGTCTATAGCATTGGTCTTTCTACTTCTGTGATCCATGCGTACGAAGTAGGAGGCGAAAAGATAGTTTACAAGAATGGATTTTCAAATATTGACAAGTAATTCCGAGGTTCCTCCATTCCTTTAATTTTGACGAAGGATAAGTAAGATAAAGTGGTAAAAGGACTGATCGCATGACTCGAAGAACCGACAACCGATGGGAAAGAAAGATTTTTGAGTGGCGACACCGTACGGGAAAATGCAGTGTAGAACAACCCACGCTAGATAGAGCGACCTCAAATGCAAGTGGAGTCAGTGCATGCAGGTGGCTCAGGATCGTTCCTTATTGCAGTATATGGGTAGGTCTATGTCCAGCAGTGGACGAATGGCTGAAATGATGATGATGAACTTTGAAGTTGCCAAATTTCAGCAAAAAAGCTAGTAGTGAGAGCTGGAGTAGTATAGAGCTTAAAAGTTGTTCACGTCAAATTCAACACCTGAATCCTTAGGAATGGCAACGCATGGCGGGTATCATGGGCGAAACAGTATACTCTGTTATGTCCACGGTACTGCTCATGTCTATAGGCGACGGTTACCACTTTCCATCAGGTGGGCCGTCAGCTTGTTTGCCATTCTAAGTTGTATAAAAAAAAAGCTCTAAATATAGAGCAAGTAATCACTACGTTCATCATTAACATCATTATCATGTCAGCTTTTAACTGTCTAATGCTAAACATAAGCTTCCTATGAAGATTTTTGGCTTTGGAGATGTTTTAAAGCGGACGCTGCTGCCCATCACACGACCTCCCTTAGTCGCCACTTACGACACTCGTGAGAAAGTAAGCGGTGATCTATTCTATGCCGGGAGTAGACGGCAAATTATTTATTATTTATTTATTTATCTATTTATTGCACTATAAATAAAAATATACAATGACAAGTGAATAATTCAATTGCAATACAATAACATAAATACAAATTGAAATATACACATAAAGGTACAAAAGGCGGTCTCATCGCTAGGGCAATCTCTTACAGACAACCTTTGGTTTAAATAAATTAAAAAAAAAGGTATAATTTTTTTATTGACATTTGTTTTTTTTTTGTTTACAGCAACACCGCCTGGACCTCTATACGTACACTTCCACAGCGACAACTTAGTAACGGACGATGTCAATGAATTTGGTTATAGATTTAGTTACAATGTACTGAATAATTGTTATTTGAGAAAATCTGTCAATGTTTAAACTTTTTTTTTTAATTCGGTCATGCTGGTGGTAAAGGTAACGTATCTTTACAGTTGATTACGTGTAACTCGCCTCTTTAGACGCTAAGTGTAACATTACTTCGTTAAATATGAGTCTCAAATAGTATTTAACATTAGAAAAAGCTAATTTATTTAATGCCTTAGCCGGAGGTAAAGTTTTTTTTTTGTTTTGTACATTTTTTTTAAATTCTATTTATTGTTAATTTTAATTCCATAGACTAAATGTAAAGGTCGCCAGATGTAAAGGTGTTTTTTTTTTGTTATATTTTTTTAATTTTTTTTACTGTTTATAAAATGTATTAATAAATTCTTTATTAATGCTTTTGTCAGAAGTAAATGGAGATTTTTTTATTTTCTTTCTTGTTCGTTTGTAAAATTTCATTTAATTTTCCTTTTAGCACTGTTAAAATTATTTAACACAAAATAAACATATTAGACTCTAAATTTGTGAATTTAACACAGTTTAGTTTAATTTAACAAACCGTTAGTATTTACGTCTGGCCGATGCACTATTTATAGGAGTTTTTTTATTGACTGAACAAAATAAATATGGGCGAATTATCTATGATAATGGCAACACCCATATTTTGTGACGTGCATTTATTTTATAACAATAAATTATTTTATGTGCAATTTTGTTTTGTTTTTTTCATTTCCTTTTTTCAAATCCTTTGTGTGCCAGATGTTAAAATAAAAAAAAAATAATGGATACAAACCGTTTTCTTTTTTTTTAATGGGTGGAAATGGAATGGTAACCCCGCCGGCGCTAACGGGATACACTGGCGGAGCACCAGTAAAGGGTGATAGATGAGAATGAAAACAGGCCAGTTAGCCCATCATGATGAATTCACCAGGAATTAACCATGATAGTTGCCAGGGGGGACCGCGAGGAAGTCGACCTGGTTGGGTATATTGCTAGCAATGGGATTCTCAGTCTCCATCACTAACAATCCCTTTCCCCCCGAGACATACCGTTTGTCTCCTTATAAGGATCATCTCCACGTGCTCCCTCTTAAAAACCATCGCGACTTATTCTTGTTGAATTCGTCACGATGGGCCAACTGATCTGATTTCATGCTCACCTATCATCAGTCACTGGTGGCCCATCAATGTAACCAGGCGGATTTACTATTCCATTTTCATACATAAAAAAAACTCTATCTCTCTCTCACACAGATATATCTTTTAATTTTATTATTATTTCGATGGACAATTAATATCCACTGTTGGACATAAGCCTTGCCCATAAGGGGAGTTTTGCCTTTAAGAGGATTTGACTGAAATTAAGAGAATTTGCAAGCGGTGAATTTTGGGGGGAAAAGAGATTGTTAGAAATAGAGATGTTAATCCCCATTATTATTATTAATAATAACAATAACAGCCGTTAACTGTCCACTGCTGGACATAAGACTCCTCCATAACCCCTAATGAGGGAGGCTTGAGTTTTGGCAGTTGTTGCCACGCTTGGCAGGCGGGTTGGCAACCGCAGTTAGGCTTTCAGTGATGTTTTAAGAGGGACGCTGCTGCCCACTCTTCGCCCTCCCTTAGTTGCCTCTTACGACACCCACGGGAAAGGAAGGGGTGGCCTATTCTATGATAGGGCACACATGGCGACAAACTCTAGCTTAATATCCAATCTTTTCTTATTACATAAACAAAATATAATATGTTTGTACTATAGTATTTCATTCGTGTTTCAACCGTGAAGCAGTTGTGTTTGCATGGCTGTGTTTCGGTTTGAAGGGTGGGATATGGCGCGAATTTACAGGGTACAGAGGAATAACACCTGAGTCCTCAGGAATGGCAACGCATGGGGGGTATCATGGGCGAAACAGTATACACTGTTATGTCTATGGCACTGCTCATATCTATAGGCGACGGCTACCACTTTCCATCAGGTGGGCCGTCAGCTTGTTTGTCATTCTAAGTTGTATAAAAAAAGAGTGAGTAAATTAATAAAAGGAAATTACCTGTATTTTTAAAATGTTTATTAAAAAATTTAAATAAATACAATAAGATATACTTTGTTAAACTGTAACTACCATAAATGATAATAATTGTTGTCATATTAACAAAAATACACATAATAAATGCGTTTTTTTTTCTTCTTAAAAATTATGACTAAGTTAATACAAATACACAGCTTTTTACCCACTCCTCTGAATATAATAAATAATGAGGGATTATAGGTATCTAATATGTATTTAAAAACAAAACTTTTTAATTATGGTTATTATTATGTCATGTGAACTACAATCGGCTGTATGGACAGAGACCCTTTGCGTTTCTCATATGAAATCAATAATAATAAAAAAAAATAGAGCAAAAAATACCGCGAAAATTGTTAACTTCCTACAATATACTCAAAATTTCCACATAGGATTGTTTTAAATTTATAATATGTTACGTATTATTAATAATTATAATTATATTACAAACAAAAAAAAAAATAATAAAGCATGTGTTCGAAAAACTTTTTAAAATTATTTCAACAATACAACTAAGCTGTATTCACTGGATTATTTAAAAAAATAATATCAGTCTATTAAAAAAAAAACAAACAAAAATTACGTATCGATGGCCGGAAAATAAAAATATACTTAGGTGCTTGCTTACAAATAAATCTCTTAATATATAAAAATAAAATATTTACATACAATTAAAAGTGCGTAAAAAAAAAACTTTAAAACGTCATTTTCTATTTCATGTAACTAAACTAATTGACATTAATGTTCGAGTGTAACAAGTGAAAATTGGCGCGAAATAACCATAGATTAAAAAAAAGGTATATTATTCCTTTAATACCATTAGTTCCGTAAAATACCGCTGTTAACTTGTAGCGTTGTACACTGTATTCATAAGCAAAATTGAATGTCTAATTTTTACCATTTTAATTCTCTATCAAGTAAATAAATTATTTGTTTATTTATTAATATTTGTAACTAAAACCTAAATTTATTTTTAAACAGTTTTGGTAAAATAAAAAAAAAGAGATTTTCTTTTTAATTTTATTAATTACTAAATGATTTCACTTAAATATTAAAAATAATTAAAAAAGGTTTTATTGATTTTTTTATTTTCTACTTAACTAAGTAGGTACTTATAAAATAAAATTTTAAAATAATGTACAGGTTTTCTTTTTAAATATTATATTATAATTCTATGAAAAAACATATTAAAGGATGAAAATGAAAAACGAAAACGATTGAAAAACGACAAAAACTTTACAGTCGTTTTTCAACCATTTTTTTTAATGTTTAGAACACTCCCTTCAAAGGTTATTTCGATTTCACCCTATGTTTTTATATATATAAAATATTATTTCTTTTTTTTTTCTAAATCTAATTTAAATATGACTAAATACGACTAACTACTTATATACTAATTTTATATAAATAGAAATCTACAATCACATTATAGTAAAACAAATCGTTGATAGCAGTCTTATTGTACGAAGGCTTAACTAGCTGTTTCCTGCGGTTTCGATTGCGAAACAAGAGTTTATAAAACACGAGTTTATAAAACTTACTTATACATAGAAGGCGATACTAGATACCCGCAAATAAAAGTTAAACATACTTTATGTTTTCAAATATTTTTATACTTGGCATATTTAGTTAACAAGCCTTTTATTGCATTTAGTCGTAGAAAATGGACCTCAGGTATTGTCCTTAGTCTGTGAATTTAGTAATTTAGAAACGTTCTTAATCTATGTTTAAAAATAGAACAAAAAAAAGTAAGTATTGTCAATTAATATCATGTCTTTTTTGTTTTAGTAATTGTTTTTTTTTTTTGCTTAATAATAATAATCCATTATTTATTTAATATTTTTTATGTCTACAATTAGATATGCCAATTTTTTTTCTAAACTATGCCAAGAATAAAAAAGAAACAAGTTACAAATTTTTCCGCGTAATTGGCCACCGATACTTACAAATACTACGCGCGGTAAAATGGCGGGCCCCGACTCACTGTGTACGTAGATAGAGGTATGCCTTTGGTGCCGTAGATAGCTTCTGGTGCGTTCTCGTAATCTACGTCGTAGTAGATGCCCGTTTGATTCTGTTGATAATACAATATTGTTATGAAAAGAAATATATTTTGTTCGAATTATTATAAGCGATTTTAATCGAGACAAAACGTGACAAACATTGGAGATTTTATGGGTGCTTGTATGGAAGCGTGCTTGAATGGGTGCAAGCGTGCTTGTATGGGTGCAAGCCTGCTTGTATGGATGCAAGTGCGCTTGTATGGGTGCAAGTGTGCTTGATGGATGCAAACGTGCTTGTATGTGTGTAAGCGTGCTTGTATGGGTGCAAGCCTGCTTGTATGGATGCAAGTGTGCTTGTATGGGTGCAAGCCTGCTTGTATGGATGCAAGTGTGCTTGTATGGGTGCAAGCCTGCTTGTATGGATGCAAGTGTGCTTGTATGGATGCAAGTGTGCTTGTATGGGTGCAAGCGTGCTTGTATGGGTAACAATCAAACAAATTTATCTAACTTACATGCATGCTTCTTGCCCTAGATTTCGGTCTGGGTACGAGCAAATCTGCCCGCTCCTGGACGTGGCTGGAGGCTTCCGAGCTGGTGGACTCTGTCGCCATGTGATTCGTGTAGCCTGGACAACCATTATAATATTATAAATATATCATGGGAATATTACAGAGCGCCATCTAGTTTTAAACTATGTATAGCTTATTCAACAGACGCTACACAATTGACTGATGTACACATTCATGAACTTTATACATGTTTTTATATAAAAAAATACATTTATAAGAATATAATATAATTTACAGGGTGCAGAGGAATAACACCTGAGTCCTCAGGAATGGCAACGCATGGGGGGTATCATGGGCGAAACAGTATACTCTGTTATGTGCATGGTACTGCTCATGTCTATAGGCGACGGTTACCACTTTCCATCAGGTGGGCCCTCAGCTTGTTTGCCATTCTAAGTTGTACAAAAAAAAAAGAAAAAAAAAGAAGATTTTCAATTCGGCTGTATTTTTTACATCATAATTTTGTCAGTTTTAAACAGATTTGAAGACAATTTTTTTATCTGTATCTATTTTTTATGTCTAAGGTGGTAAGTACTTACCCTTAGATTACATAGATAGAGCATCGAGCCTCAAAAACGGCTCAACTGTTTGTCAGCTAATTGTCAAATTAGCTGACTCGTTTGTTGTATCAGTGTTTTATATACTTACGCACACAATGTATCTTGACGTGTCTATATTTAATTATTTAATACATTAAAATGAGTGTTTGCACATTAAACGATGCAGAAATTATAAGACAAAGTAAATATAGAAATTATAAAGGAATCACTCGTAACTATTTATCACGCAAAATTGTATGAAAAAGTTGAGCCGTTTTTCTCGAAGCATTTGTATGGGGACACTCGTATGTATATAAGCTAAGTATTTACCATATAAGTTATGGTGGGAAGCTGCGGTGTTAGCGCGTGATGCGACCGTGTTCAGTGTCCCGTTATGGTGTCCACCATGCATGCCCATCCTGTAATATTATAGGGTTATTAACTCTCACACTAGATTTTTTTTATGCAACATAAAATAGCAAATAAGTTGACAGCCCTGGCTGATTCGCTATACACGAAACATAAGTAAAATTAGGGGTACAGAGGTACACTTTAGTCTTCGAGACTGACGACACTTGGGGGTATCATGGGCGACACAGTACACTCTGTTATGTCCACGGTACTGCTCATGTCTGTAGGCGACGGTTATAACTTTCTCATGTCAATAGGCGACGGTTACCACTTTCCATCAGGTGGGCCGTCAGCTTGTTTGCCATTCTAAGTTGCATAAAAAAAGAAACTTTATTACTATTAATAGGGAGTCTAAATAAAAAAAAACATGATTAAAAACTAATAGATAAGTATATAGACTAAGTAGATAATATATAGCAATATATATATATATATATATATATATATATATATATATATATATATATATATATATATATATGTATATATTAGTTAATATATAACAATAACTATATATTGGTACAATAACAAATATGTTAAAAGCCTGTTACACAAAAACTAATATGGATTGGATTCGAAAATAGATGTCCGACCGATACGGGTGATCATGGGCGGCGGTAGTCACTTACCATCAGGTGAGCCACATACACGTTTACCTTCTGTGTTGTAAAAAAAAATATGGACACTCGGTAAATACTAATTTAAAACAAATATTCACCTTGGTAATGGCACCGGGGGCAGTGTGGGGTACCCTCCAAACATCGCTGACGATGGACGAGTCGCCATCGTGGCTTCGGGTTGTTGCAAGTGCTGAAAATAATAATAATAATAATAACAATAAATGAATGTATGACAACTTTATTCGCTCGAATACAGGTTAATACATCAGAATTTTTTAATGTTAAAGTAAACACACTCTGCATTTTTTTTTTATACAACTTAGAATGGCAAACAAGCTGACGGCCCACCTGATGGGAAGTGGTAACCGTCGCCTATAGACATGAGCAGTACCGTGGACACAACAGAGTATACTGTTTCGCCCACGATACCCCCCATGCGTTGCCATTCCTGAGGACTCAGGTGTTATTCCTCTGTACCTTGTTCATTCACGCCATATCCCACCCTTCAAACCGAAACACAGCCATGCAAACACAACTGCTTCACGGTTGAAACACGAAGTCATATAATTTGCGTGCTTAACATTAGCTATTTACGGACCTGTCTACTAATTAAATGAAAACTCTGTATCACTCATTCAAAGCAAATAAGATATTTCATTCCCTTTTATCCCATCCCATCTCGTTCCATTCCATTCTCTCCTAATATTAAGTACTGGGGGGAAAGGGATTGTTAGTAATGGAGACTGAGAATCCCATTGCTAGCAATATACCTAACCAGGTCGACCTCCACGCTGTTCCCCCTGGCAACTATCATGGTTAATTCCTGATGAATTCATCATGATGCGCTAACTGGCCTGTTTTCATTCTCATCTATCACCCTTCAATGGTGCTCCGCCAGCGTATACCGTTAGCGCAGGCGGGGTTACCATACCATTTTCACACATAAAAAAAAAAATTAAGTACTCACAGCATAATGGTTGCTTTGCGCCATCGCTTCAGCTATTTGAGCCCACCGCATCCTCTCCTCGATCGATACCTGATAAGACAAACGGTAGTTTATTAAAAAACAGTTAAATTAATCAGTTCAATTAACTAACCTGGTTAAAATTTTTATGTAACAATAACTACCGGTTTAACTTACGTGTAATTATATCGGGAAAGCTCGACTAGTTTCGGGACCAATTCGTTATCTTTAATCATGAGCGGTAGTGACGCGAGGCTGACTGCTTGTCTCGGTCCGCTGTAAGCGTTTGCGGCATCGTCACAGATAAGAAAGACGGCGTTCGGAACTCTTCGGGTATGATCGGCTGGTCTTCGTAGTCTTCCTCTTGGCCTACCATGTTATTGCCACTGACTTTTTGATAAGTCAACACAGCAGCCGCTCATGATTAATGATCACGAAATGATACCGAAACTAGTCGAGTATTAACGATCTAATTATATTTAAGTTAAACCGGTACTTATTGCATTAAAATATATATTTTTTTATACAACTTAGACTGGCAAACAAGCTGACCGCCCACCTGATGGAAAGTGGTAACCGTCGTCTACAGACATGAGTAGTACCGTGGACATAACAGAGTATACTGTTTCGCCAATGATACCCCCCATGCGTTGCCATTCCTGAGGACTCAGGTGTTATTCCTCTGTACCCTGTAAATTCAAGTCATATCCCACCCTTCAAACCGAAACACAGCCATGCAAACACAACTGCGTCACGGTAGAAACACGAATGGGACAGAGGTGTCCAAGCAAACGACTTCATACAAAGTTGTTGATAAATTCTCACCTGATAAGGCGGCTGTCCCACAGGTGGGGTCTTTATAGTGTTGGCTGCCATGTAGCTGAATACGGGCGAACCCATGCCGGCAGCTTTTTGCTCTCGGGACCATTTTCGGCTGTAAATAAAGTGGCCGAATTTAATAACTGCGTTCCCCATTTTTCTTTCAAATAAAATATTGATAGGCGGGGAGGAAATTCGATTAGATGGTAGAGATGGTCCGGACCCAACAGAACCGTGTAGAGATTGCTAGCAATAACATTTCCTACATTTTTTTTTATACAACTTAGAATGGCAAACAAGTTGACGGCCCACCTGATGGAAAGTGGTAACCGTCGCCTATACACATGAGCAGTACTATGGACATAACAGAGTATACCGTTTCGCCCATGATACCCCCATGCGTTGCCATTCCTGAGGACTCAGGTGTTATTCCTCTGTACCCTGTAAATTCACGCCATATCCCATCCTTCAAACCGAAACACAGCCATGCAAACACAACTGCTTCACGGTAGAAACACGAATTGGACAGAGGTACCCAAACAATCGACTTTTGTACAAAGTCTCCCTCTGGTGTTTCCGCCATGTGCGTCGCAGTGACCCACATAGGCTACAGCTCAGTGATAGTTTTGCTTAAAAGCAAAGCACTGATTTTCAACTGCAGCCTGAAGTTAGGCTACACGGACGCGTACAACAAACCCAGAGTGTAACCCTGTATGACAAAATTGACAGCCAAAGATAAAATTGTATTATATAGATACATACTTACATAAATGATGCATAAAATAACTTCTGAAATACACCTGTAAGAAACAGAGAACAAGAAGCCGGTTTCTTTTTTTTTTACAACACATGGGGCAAACGGGCATGCGGCTCACCTGATGGTAAGTGACCACCGCCGCCCATGATCACCCACAACACCACCGGCATTGCAGGTGTGCTGCCGGCATAAATAAAATAAAAACTATTATGAAATATACCTCCAAGAGAGTAATGCAGCCAGCGTTAATGCAATAACTAGGGCAGCGGCCAGCGAAGCACCCACAGCAACGCCAACTACCTCGCCGTCCACCTCGCATGTGCTACCATAGTATCCTGATGAGCAGCTGCATTGGACAAGTATTCGACATTTAAATATTGTATATTTTTTAAAAGACTTTTTTTAATTTTTTTTATACAACTTAGAATGACAAACAAGCTGTCGGCCCACCTGATGTAAAGTGGTAACCGTCGCCTATAGACATGAGCAGTACCGTGGACATAACAGAGTATACTGTTTCGCCCATGATACCCCCCATGCGTTGCCATTCCTGTGGACTCAGGTGTTATTCCTGTGTACCCTGTAAATTCACTATCATATCCCACCCTTCAAACCGAAACACAGCCATGCAAACACAGCTGCTTCACGGTTGAACCACGAATGGGACAGAGGTAGTCAAGCAATCGACTTTTGTACAAAGTCTCCCTCTGGTGACTTCTTAGCCCTTCTTTGCATAATGGTGGAAATTTCCATCATAACATTGTATGCCCAAAAATTATATAAAAGAACAAGTTCACATTAAGTTGATCGTGTCTGGATACCTTTTTAATGTCCATTGCAAAAAACAAAACATAGCTGTCAAATTTTTTTTTTAACCATTTTTCCTTTAATTTTGAACATGAATTATATCACCTTGATTTATTTCACCAATAAAAAAAAACCAATGAGTCATGATTTAAAATTGCGTTCTATAAAAAAAACTGTCCTTTTTTTCATACCACTGAGGTGACAAACAAGCATACGGCCCACCTGATGGTAAGCGGTTACCGTAGCCTATGAACGCCTGCAATACCAGAGGCATTACACGCGCGTTGCCGACCCTGAAGAAACCTCTTTACCCCCCTCTTGAAGAACCCCATGCTGTAGTCTCTTGGAAAAACCAATTCCTTTGATTTATTAACTAGGTTAATGGACAGAAACTTGAGATCGATCTGTGAGGTTACTTACAGATCGATCTCACATTTCTCACACATTAAATATCATACAAATTAATTTTCAGAAGAAAATCAGATTAACAGAGAAGAAAAATATTGGGTTTGCTAGAAGAAATCTCTATTGGAGATAAGCTCGCCTTTGTGCCACTATTATGTTTGTTTTTACATTCCAATAACCTTTTGTATACAATAAGGAATAAAGAAAAAATTTTCAAAGCAAATTCTATCCCAAGTAAATACATCGTGATTGGAGGGGAAAGGGATTGTTAGCAATGGAGTTTGACAGCCCCATTGCTAGCAATATGCCTTATTAGGTCGACTTCCCCGTAGTTCCCCCTGGAAACCATCGTGAACAATTCTCGTTGAATTCGTCACGACGGGCTAACTGACCTGCTTCATCCTCACCTATCACCTCTCACTGGTGCCCCGCCGGTGTATACCGATAGCGCGGGTGGGGTCACCATTCCATTATCATCCATTAAAAAAAACCACATCGTGATAGGCCAACTGACCTGCCTTTTCATCGTCACCTGTCATCCTTCACTGGTGCCCCGCCGGCGTATACCGTTAGCGCGAGTGGAGTTACTATTTCATTGTTATTCGACCAGTTTATAATTAACAGTACCGACCTGCAGTAGGGCTGGCCGTGCTGGTAGCGGCACACGCCGCGCTCGCTGCAGTGCGAGGCCGTGCAGGCGAGGCACTGGCGGCCCGCGCGCGGCCCGGCCACGTCCAGCGTCGTGTCCGGGCACGCGCAGCTGCACGCCCATCAACACATTACCACCACGTTACATTGGTGTTACCCAACATGGCGCCCACGCCCCACAGGGGGGCAATTTGATAATTAAAGGGGGGGGGGGGGTCAATTAAAAAATGGACTCGAAACGATTTCAAACCTCTTGCTCCGGGCCATTTAAATGCAATGCTACGAATAGATATCGGTGACAAATTTAACAAATAAATTTAAAAAAAAAAGCTAAAAATATTTATTAGGTATAATTTCTGTCTAACTGGGCGATTAGGGGGAAAGGAATTGTTAGCAATGGAGTTTGACAGCCCCATTGCTAGCAATATGCCCTATTAGGTCGACCTCCACGTCGTTCCCCCTGGAAACCATCGTGAACAATTCTTGTTGAATTCGTCACGATGGGCTAACTGACCTGCTTCATCCTCGTCTATCATCTTTCAGTGGTGCCCCGCCGGTGTATACCGATAGCGCGGGTGGGGTCACCATTCCATTATCACCAATCAACTTTTTGTACAAAGTCTCCCTTTGGTATATTTTGTGTAGCCTTAACATTCAGCCAGCTTGGCATGCAACATTTTTATCATGCATTATGACCGTATTAGCGTCATGACCACTGATTCACGACTTATCACATAGGTGGAGACTTTGTACAAAAGTCGTTTGCTTGTGTACCTCTGTTCCATTCGTGTTTCAACCGTGAAGCAGTTGTGTTTGCATGGCTGTGTTTCGGTTTGAAGGGTGGGATATGGCGTGAATTTACTGGGTACAGAGGAATAACAACTGAGTCCTCAGGAATGGCAACGCATGGGGGGTATCATGGTAACAGTATACTCTATTATGTCCACGGTACTGCTCATGTCTATAGGCGACGGTTACCACTTTCCATCAGCTTGTTTACCATTCTAAGTTGAATAAAAAAAAGTGACCAAGTGAGTACACTGTGTATGTTTGTATGGAAGGTTACGCTTGTGTATGACGGGTGGCTACTTCATCCTCATCTATATTTAAGAATTTGACTATTCCGCAAGTATTTAATAAGGTAGCCCTTTGTAGGGAGATGTAGAGATTTTTTTCGGGTGGATGGAACACCATATCCAAACTGATAAGGACGCTGTCGAAACAGGTGATGAATTTCTTCCGCCATCAATGCTCACTGAAACCCAATATATATAAATATATATATATATATATATCGGAGTGGTACTGGTATCACCTACGTTTCAGTTAGAAAAATAAAATCTCTTACGTGAATCCACCCCACGTGTTGGTACAAGTCGCTAGCTGATGACAGTCATTGAGGTCCGGGGAGGCACACTCGTCCAGATCTGGCGACAAATGTAATAATTCATAAAAAAAAAAACTGTTAACTACGAGTGCAAGGGGGAAAGGGATTGTTAGTAATGGTTTGGAACCGCCCCATTGCTAGCAATACAGGGTGTATTGCTAGCAATGATCAGGGCGACCTCGACACGGTTTCCCCTGGAAACCATCGTGGTTAATTCTTGTCGAATTCTTCACAACGGGCCGACTGACCTGGCTTTATCCTCACCTATTATCCCTCGCTGGTGCCCCGCCAGCGTATACCGATAGTGGTAACTCCACCATTCCATTTTCACCCATTAAAAAAAGACTACGAGTGTAAATAAATTATAATAAAACAAATAATAGAATCCGAAACGAGGATATCCGCAAAGGAACCAAAGTAACCGACTTAGCCCGAAGGATAAGCAAGCTGAAGTGGCAATGGCCTGGTCACATGGCTCGAAGAACCGACAACCGATGGGGAAGAGAGGTTCTTGAGTGGCGATCACGTACAGGTCAACGCAGTGTAGGACGATAGAAAAGAGTTACCTTTGAGCGGCAGCACGCTGCCGGCGGGCGTGTCCACCCACAGCGCTGAGGTGCCTACATTGTTGGACCTTCGTCTGATCACGCCCAGGATGTGTTTTTGTATGTCCGTCGCGATCGGTGCTCGTTGACTCTCCGGTGTTTCTTGTATCTGTATATATTTTTTGTATAAATTTGTTTTTAAATAAACGTGCTATATATTTGATTAGCTGAGCCAGCTAGAGGTGGGTAAGGTGCAGCAATTAGACTAATAATTGATTTACCCTAGGGAGACATTGTACAAAAGTCGATTGCTTGGCCACCTCTGTCCCATTCGTGTTTCAACCGTGAAGCAGTTGTGTTTGCATGGCTGTGTTTCGGTTTGAAGGGTGGGATATGGCGTGAATTTACAGGGTACAGAGGAATAACACCTGAGTCCTCAGGAATGGCAACGCATGGGTGGTATCATGGGCGAAACAGTATACTTTGTTATGTCCACGGTACTGCTCATGTCTATAGGCGACGGTTACCACTTTCCATCAGGTGGGCCGTCAGCTTGTTTGCCATTCTAAGTTGTATAAAAAAAAACTTATTTATTAGACTATATATTTATATATATATTTATTTATTAAACACTTTATCGTACACACCAATTATACATAAAAATATGACACAGGTAAGTATGAATAATACAGCAATATCTATATGTATAACAACAATGTTACAATATTAATTTATTTATTTATTCATTAGTACATATATGTGTACATGGCGGACTTACAGCGTCAGTACAGTCAACCATAGGCAAGTGTCAGAATACTCGAATGCGGTACTACTAATTATTGATATACATACATACTAAAATTACATATATATACACGAATAAATATATATGAATAACAAATATACTTACACATATATGACATATACTATATTATACACGAAATTGAGAATAACATAAATACCTATATATTGGACTGATAACTGATATTTATTTATTTTATTCATTGAATATCGGTTATGTAATATAGAGGTATTTTAATTTTCGTTTTATTTTGATACTATAATTTTATTTAATAGGATAAAGATCAATTTATTCGATAAACATGTGCACGCAGTAGATACATACTGCGTATTTATAGTACATTACTGCAGCGGCCAGCAACTGAGGCATTGATGGACGAATGTGCAAATGTGGGCCGAGGCGTAGCCGAGGCACACATACGTGAGTTCATCAATGCCTAGTTGTGGCCAAAGCTTGTATAGTACTTTTCTCAAACAATGCGCGGAAATCAAAAACATAATTTTACTTTTTAAGTTCAATGACGAATAATGAACAATAATAATTTTTCACGCGCCATAATGTTCCTTTTTTTTTTTTTACATAAACAGCTTTCTATTTGCAAGCCAGTTCGAAATTTAAATAAAACGTTTTTTTTAGTTACCTCGTTGGTAGCCATGTTTCGAAGTAAAAGGTCATTCCATTTTTAAATTACAGGACAGATATGAATTTTTATACAACTTTTGCCGGCCGCTGCCCGCATGTATCTGGCCAGTACGGCAATTATGATTTCTCTCGAAGAAGATTGTCAAAATGATGCTCACGTATCCAAGCATGTTTGAGAAAAATTAATATCGACCTGGTCACTGCAGCTGTTTATAGTTTTAAAATCATTGATCACTTACCAAGATGGTGTAATTCACAAATACGCCCTGATTGTGTTCATCACCGCGGTGCACCGAGTTCACCGTGCCGCTGACGAAGTCATCAGAGAACGGGGTCATTGAGAAGGCGGAGTCGATCTGTGAACGATAATTATATACATCAAATAAATATAAATAAATAAATACATAATAGATCGACCGATTTCCTTATATATAGTAGCAGTATCTATATATATTAGTTACAATATGAATAACTATATATTGGCTTATTATATTATTATTAATGGCTTACATGCGAATAAATATAAATAAATAAATACATAATAGATCGATCGATTTCCTTATATATAGTAGCAGTATCTATATATATTAGTTACAATATGAATAACTATATATTGGCTTATTAACGGATAATTAATTGAATATATTTATATATGAATTTCCCAAATGATTCCGACATAGGATAAGCCACGCTTTCTTTACCGTAGGTGTTGTAAGAGACGACTAAGGGAGCTTAATAGTAGAGGGATGAGCACGAACATCCCTCTTAAAACACCACCAAAAGCCTAACTTTTTTTTATAGCACTTAGCCTAAATACGGTTGCCAACCCGGCTGCCAAGCGTGGCAATGACTGGCAAAACCCACATTTATGGGGGAAGCTTATATTCACCAGACTGTACAAAAGTGGTTTGCTTGGACACCTCTGTCCCATTCGTGTTTCTATCGTGCAGTTTTTATCCCGGTTGCCAAGCGTGGCAACTACAGGCAAAACTCCCCCAAGCGGGAGGCTTACGTTCAGCAGTGGACAGCTAAAGGCTAAAATATGTTGACCATGATATATCTACTAACCGCTCTTATCGCTTCGTAGCTCAATTGTTGGTAGGAATCGGACTCTTTGTCCGCCAGCTTCGCGTCCCATGACACCTGTAAAACATTTTTTTTTATTTTTTTTTTTAATTTCATTTTATACAAAAATCCACAGCTCTTAAAAAATAACTTACATGCTAAGTCTCTTATGAATACAGCCAATAACGGATTTTATTTATACAAACATAAATTTTGATTCCAAAGCGAGGCAGGCGAGTTAGAGTGGGTGTATGCAAGCAATATAAGCACATGTATGAAAGAAACCATGTATAATAGTGAGTGTCCATAAAGTTAGGTTAATAGATATATAAAATAATTAAAATGCATGTTGCTACAGTTCAGATATTGACAGCAATGATTAAGTAATACAAATTCATGGTCACCAATTGTAAAGAGGGTTAAATGTATGCGTGGGTGTATGTGTAGTGTGATATAAATAAATGTAAATATGTAGTGTATATACGTACATGTACATATATGCAACATAGGCAATTATGATATTATTTCATCCATTATCACATTTTTTTTATATTACTCAAAATGTCAACCACTAGATTTTATACCATAAAAAAACACTTAATTTAATTGTTGGAAAACGGGGGGGAAAGGGATTGTTATTAATGGAGACTGAGAATCCTATTGCTAGCAATATACCCAACCATGTCGACCACCTCGGGGTCCCCCCTGGAAACTATCACGGTTAATTCCTGATGAATTCATCATGATGGGCTAACTGGCCTGTTTTCATTCTCATCTATCACACTTCACTGGTGCTCCGCCAGCGTATTACGTTAGCGCAGGCGGGGCTACCATACCATTTTGACCCATCAAAACAAAAAATTGTTGGAAAACCAGTTATTTAGAACTGCCTGCCGTATTTCAAAAAATAATTTTACATTTGAAAGCTCATTTCTTGTAGAAAGTTTTTCAGCATTACGACCACGGGCGAAGTCACGAGATAGAACTAGTGAAGTATAAAACTGTTAATTACTCACCTTCCTGTCGTAGAGCCTGTCGACCCTCAGGTTGAGGAGCAAGGCGACGACACGCCGACATGGATCCCGGTGGACACGACGTGCATACCCCGGCCGGCATTGGCAGCTCGATATACCTACATACAGACAATATGGCGTCACATATCGCAATGTAGGTTCCGGCATAGAATAGGCCACCCCTTCCTTGCCGTGGGTGTCGTAAGAGGCGACTAAGGGAACTTATGGTGGAAGGCAAAACTGAGGTTACTAACCCGCCTGCCAAGTATGCCAACTACTGGCAAAACCCCCCTTATGGGAGAAACTATGTTTAACAGTATATGCCAGGGGGAAAGGGATTGTTAGCAATGGAGTTTGACAGCCATATTGCTAGCAATATGCCCTATTAGGTCGACCTCCACGTGGAAACCATCCCCCTGGAAACCATCGTGAACATTTCTTGTTATATTCGTCACGATGGGCTAACTGACCTGCTTCATCCTCACCTACCATCCTTCATAGGTATCCCGCCGGTGTATACCGATAGCGCGGGTGAGGTTGCCAATCCATCTTCACCCATAAAAAAATCCACTAGTGTATTCTATTGAAATGTTTCGCTGTATCTTATGTTAGTGATCCTATAAATAAATGAATGAATGAATGAATGATAGAATGAATGAATGAGTGAATGAATGAATGAATAAATGAATGGGTGAATGAATGAATGAATGAATGAGAGAATGAATGAATGAATGAATGGATGAATGGATGGATGGATGAATGAATGAATGAATGAATGAATAAATAAATGAATAAATAAAAGTACATACCAAGTTCAGTCCTGCACATCTCGTTTTGTGTTTGATCGCATGTGGAATCATCGCCCACGATGCATGTGTCGATTCTGTGAAGAAATATATTTTAATTGTCGTGTTTCAACCGTGAAGCAGTTGTGTTTGCATGGCTGTGTTTCGGTTTGAAGGGTGGGATATAGCGTGAATTTACTGGGTACAGAGGAATAACACCTGAGTCCTCAGGAATGGCAACGCATGGGGGGTATCATGGGCGAAACAGTATACTCTGTTATGTCCACGGTACTGCTCATGTCTATAGGCGACGGTTACCACTTTTCATCAGGTGGGCCGTCAGCTTGTTTGCCATTCTAAGTTGCATAAAGAAAAATCGTAATTAATTTTAGATGAACTCATCACGATGTGCCAACTGACTTGCTTTTTTCCTCACCTATCATCCCTCACTAGTGCCTTACCAGCGTATACCAATAGCACAGGAGGGGTGACCATTCCATTATCATCCATTAAAAACAGGGCTCATTCAAAGTAATGGAGCTGGTATTCCTTACTAACAATTCCTTTCCTCCTGCCATAAAGATTAGATATTTATTTATTTATTCATTAGTACAAATATGTGTACATGGTGGACTTAATGCTAGAAGCATTCTCTCCCAGTCAACCGTAGGGAAGTGGCATAATACTCGAACGCGGTACTAGTAATTATTGATATACATACATACTAAAATTACATATATTAAGGTTGGCTAAGCAGGCTCCCCTATCTCTTGCATTGAAACTACTCAATGATATTTTGAGCCAGTATCCGCAATCGGATGTATTTGCCTCCAACTTGCTGGAGTTTCGTCGAGTGACCACAGAGTATTTGTGTTCAGACGTTTTTTGTTTGAGTTAAATCTTTTTATATTATTTTTGTTATTTTTGGTGTAATATACCTTTTTATATGTTATTGTACTCATGCTTTCCTGGGTGAGCGTATTGGAAGACTGTAAGGCTCACCCAGTGGATGTAATAAATAAATTACTTTATTAATACTGACCTGACAGTCGGCTGCGGTCTCCTGTAAGTCTGCTGCGGCCTGTGTACTTGGTGCTGAGGCTGGTGCTGCCTACGTGGCGGTGGCGGCGGCTGGGGGACGTCATCTGTTGGTATCGCCACCCCTGTACCGATGGCCGGCCCCAGCGGTGGTGCAGCTAGCGGAGGCACTGAAATGATCGGATATTTTCAATAGGCTTCAGAAAGGAAGAAGATCTTAGTTCCAAGGGCATTTTTAATGAATGATAACGAAATGGTAATCTCGCCCGCGCTTACGGTATTTTTTTATAGAACTTTGAATGGCAAACAAGCTGACGGCCCACCTGATGGAAAGTGATAACCGTCGCCTATAGACATGAGCAGTACCATGGACATAACAGAGTATACTGTTTCGCCCATGATACCCCCACACGTTGCCATTTTTGAGGACTCATGTGTTATTCCTCTGTACCCAGTAAATTCACGTCATATCCCACCCTTCAAACTGAAACATAACCATGCAAACACAACTGCTTCACAGTTGAAACACGAATGAGACAGAGGTACCCGAGCAATCGACTTTTGTACAAAGTCTCCCTCTGGTAAACGCTGACAGGACTCCAGTGAGGGGTGATAGGTGAAAATGAAAGGGCAGGTCACTTGGTCAATCATGATAAATACACTTGGAATTCAGCACTATTGTTCACATGGGCAAGCGCGAAGAAGTCGACCTAACAGGGTATATTGCTAGCAATGGGGCTGGTAATTCGCATTACTAACAATCTTTCCCCTTTAATTCTAAGGGTTATGTCGTTTATTATTTTGTATAGTATTTACTGAACAAGCTGAAGCTCTAGAGGATGACTTCGTACAGAAGTCGTCTGGAAGGATATCTCGATCTAATTCGTGATGATGATAAAGTTTCAAGAGGGACGCTGCTGCCCATTACTCGACCATTAAGTTGCATGTTTTATGGTTTATAGAAAACTTCTGTCTTGCAAGCGGAGGAAGCCACATCAGTTTGCTCGTGACAATGGCCGGTGTCGAAAGAACGTAGTCGAAACTTGGAGATAATCCAAGTAAATTATCGTCGTTTACCAGAGGGAGACTCTGTACAAAAATCGTTTGCTTGGATACTTCTACCCCATTCGTGTCTCTGACATGAAGCAGCTGTACTTGCATGGCTGTATTTGGGTTTGAAAGTATGGTAGTGAAATTATATGGTACGAAGACGTAACAACATAGTCCTCAAGAATGGCAACACATGAGAGACACCATGGATATTACAGAGTACTCTGTCACATATATGGTGCTGTTCATGTCTAAAGGCGACAGTCATCGCTCTCCATCAAGTAGGCCGTCAGTCTATTAGCCATTCTAAGATTTATTTAAAAGAAATAGTAAATCAATGGAGCTCTTACCAGATTGCGGCAGATTCTGCACGTGCGTCGGTCTGATGCTGACTGGAACGGTGGAGGTGTCGAAGAGGTTCAGGTAAGTCCTCTTACCATCGATGGACACGAAGCCCTGCTCCCCAGACGCTGACACGATGATGTCATCGTGCTCCCCGTGTCCAGATAAGTTGACGTTCTCGATGTGAACTGGAATGAATTATAACTCTTTATTATTTTTCACTCCCCTTATTGAAAAGGCTTACGTTTAACAGCGGACAGTCAACAGCTAACATAATGTGATATTGTATGATAAACTTAAAAACTGGTGTATATTTTAGGTAGTTTAATGCACAGTTTAAAAGTAGTCTGTTTAAATGCGCACACGCAATAATTTTCCTACTACTGAAATCCTCGTTTGAAAACGAGAAAAACTAATTATACAAAAGGAATCTGCATAAAGTTGTCTGCATCGATACCTTTATTAATATATTTTGGCCTCCAAGCAGCTGGCTTTCTATACAGCTTGGAATGCCCATCTAATGGAAAGTGATCGTCGTCTATAGACACCAACAGCATCGTGGACATCTCTGTGACGTAAGTGATACTTCTAGACTCGTAGACTAGTATGTTCTTCATGGGTGGAAGTAGAATGATAACTTCGTCTGCGCTTTTGATATATACTGGCGAAGCATCAGTGAGAGAATAGGTGAGGATGAAAGTAGGTCAGTTAGTCCATAGTGCCGAATTCAACAAGAATTAACTATGATAGTTTCCGGGAGGAATCACGTGGAGTTCGGCTTGATAGGGTATATTGCTAGCAATGGGGCTAGTGGACTTTATCACTAACAATCCCTTTCCCCACAGACTGATGTGTGTGCCTTCGTACCTTTGAATTTTACGGCTGTATCCGATTCTTCATACAGAAGCACAATTGCAAAGATAGCTCTGAATATCATCTCTTAATAATACATAACAGCAATTTACAGTTACTCTTACAGTTACGGAGTGGAATCAACTTCCAGCAGCAGTATTTCCGAACCGATACGACATCATAACCTTCAAGAAAAGAGCATATTCCTTTTTAAAAGGCCGGCAGCACACCTGCAATGCCTCTGGTACTGTAAGTGATCATGGGCGGTGGTAGTCACTTACCATCAGGTGAGCCGAATGCTCATTCGCCCCCTGTGTTGTAAAAAAAACTCACCTGATGCTCCCTTTTCTCCAGGACCTTGAATAGCAGAGACAGTCACATCGAATATTTCCCCATAGCCAGGCGGCAGCCTAGTCTCCTGAGCGGTGATGACTGATGCTTCCGGTCTGCTGTACCTACTCCCATGAGGTTTGAAGTCTGGATCGTCCAGGACAATACCGGGACGAGGTCTGTACGGATGGTAAGGGATGCCTTGTGATGCTGGAATGGAAAATATGTAACATAATTTAACACAAATAGTTATATATACATTTTTTTTATACAACTTAGAATGGCAAACAAGCTGACGGCTCACCTGATGGAAAGTGGTAACCGTCGCCTATAGACATGAGCAGTACCATGGACATAACAGAGTATACTGTTACGCCCATGATACCCTCCATGCGTTGCCATTCCTGAGGACTCAGATGTTATTCCTCTGTACCCTGTAAATTTACGCCACATCTCACCCTTCAAACCGAAACACAGCCATGCAAACACAACTGCTTCACGATAGAAACACGAATGGAACAGAGGTACCCAAGCAATCGACTTTTGCACAAAGTCTCCCTCTGGTATATTAACTTCAATCGTGTCAAAATAAGTTATTTTTGTTTTAAAAACTAAACTTTTTGATCAAATGTCTATGTGACTAACTTAAAAGTATAATCTCTTAATAAGTCTTACGAATCAAGAGTTATGAGGTAATCGAAAATTACAACCGAATTGAGAACATATTTTTGGATCAGAAGAAAGGTACAGAAATTTTGATTGTTTTTTTTTTTATACAACTTAGAATAGCAAACAAGCTGACGGCCCACCTGATGGAAAGTGGTAACCGTCGCCTATAGACATGAGCAGTACCATGCACATAACAGAGTTTACTGTTTCGCCCATGATACCCCCCATACGTTGTCATTCCTGAGGACTCGGGTGTTATTCCTCTGTACCCCGTAAATTCACGCCATATCCCACCTTTGTTACTCAACTAACGGATTAAAAAGTAAGATACACGCGTATATCCTATTCTAATTTAATACACAGGATACTTTATGTAGTGATCCATCCAGTTAAAGTCGCACAAAACATCTAGTATTACGTTTGTACCACAGGGAAACTTTGTACAAAAGTCGTTCGCTTGGGCACCTCTATCGCATTCGTGTTTCTACTGCGAAGCAAATTGTGTTTGCATAACTGTGTTTCGGTTTGAAGGGTGGGATATGACAGTGAATTTACAGGGTACAAAGGAATAACACCTGTGTCCTCCGGACATAACACTCTGTTATGTCACCACATTCCATCAGGTGGGCTATCAGCTTGTTTGGCATTCTAAGTTGCATAAAAAAAATATAATGAACTCCCTGTTGGTTTTTCAAGAGACTACAGCTTGGGATTCTTTAAAAAAGGGGTAAAAAGATTTCTTTCTGGTCAGCTATGCGCGTGTAATGCCTTTATTATTACAAACGTTCATAGGCTACGGTATACGGTATAGGCCGTATGCTTGTTTGCCAACTCAGTGATATAAAAAAAAATTGAAAATATACTTACATGGCAATGGTTGAGAATTGATTGATGAAGGTCTTATATCATTACTGGCAGTTGATGATTCATTGACGATTGGCGCGTGGACAATAAGACCTTCTGTGGGTGTTGGAGCAGTATTAGACGACGCCGTGGTCGTTTTACTCTCAGATATAGAAGGCTGTATGTAACCCTCTGTAGTTGTCTCATTTTTGGTTTTATTCTGCGCTTTTTCTTCGTTAATTTTATATTTCTCTTTTTCAAGTTTACCTTTGTCTATTGGAGGATCCTTTTTCTTCTCCTTCTCTATTTTGATGGGCTTTTCAGTTTTCGACCTCTCTGTTGTAGTTGTGGTTGTCGTACTAGTCGTTGACTTTTCTGATGCTCTTTCCGTTGTTTTCTCTATTGGTTTTTCTGTTATTTTTTCTTTCGGTTTTTCCGTTGATTTCACAATAGGTCTTTTTGTTGTGAGTTTCTCTGTCGTAGTTTTCTCTGTTGTGGTAGAACTAGTTGTTAACTCTGTAGTGGTGGATGTGGTTGTAGTTGTTGTTGATGTAGATGTTGTTTTATCAGAAACAGTTGTTAATTTCTCTTCCTCTTCCTTCTCTAATTCTTCTTCATTGTTAGAAGGAGTTACCTTATCATCTTCTTGACTAGTATTAGTTTCGTCGTGATGAATGTTATTCTCTGAATTATTTTCGTTTTCATTTGCTATTACTTCTGCCTCTGGCTTCGTATCTTCTGCTTCAGGAAGATCTAGAGGTAGGGGTGGTAAAGAAGGTTTATACATAGGCAGACCAGGGTTGGGCCTTCTTGTTGGAGGTCGAGGCCGTGGCCTCTGCCAAGGTGGCATAGGCCTGTACAACCCTGGCCTGTGATTCATCGGTGGAACAATTTGCTCAGGTAAATTGACACCATGATGAGGAGGTCTATCGAATGGATACGGTGGTGGCGTCTTCGTTGGATGGTACGCGTGCGCTACTGGAGTAACTGGCTTGTCGAAGTCAGGAATAGGTGGTACATCAGATATGCGAGGTGGACCACGATTGTTGATTCTAGAAGCCATTGGCCTGCTAGGTCTACCGTTGAGAAGTTGAGAGTTGGCTTGAACATTTACATTCCCGTTAAGCAGTTTTACTATGCCCGTGATGATATTCTGGATTTCTGTATTCTGTCTGCCTTGTTCTTTATAGGTTGCCGTCGCAAATATCGGCTGAACTGCAGTAGGCCTGATCCTGGGTCCCGGTGCGTTCAGCGCTCGCGCCACCGGGACCCTTTTGGCTTCCCCCGGAAACCTAAACTCTAATCTATCACCGAAACCATCAGATGACATGATAATATCATCATCCCTGCTCCTAATAAAGTCTATGGTTTTCGTCGGATGTATCTCGTAGTATTTTCTCTTATGGTGTAATTCTAGATCGTTATCAATCTCATTGTTTGATGATGGTATTTCATCAATGTTAACAGACCTGGTCTCCCGGTCAGGGTCAGCGGATCTGGCTACAATTATGTGGTTCTCTTGTTCTTCATTGCGTATTATATCTTCGGGTTCTTCTTCAACGGCATCGTACCTTGCACTTGGTTCTATGCTGAATGATAAATTTTCTGTTTGACTTGTTTGGAGTACTAGGCCAGGGAGACGAGGGTCTGAAGCCGACTTTGGTGATAACTGGGATATCGTGTATAGTTCTTCATAACCTGGAATGAGAAAATATTAAACTGATCAGTTATATTCTGTTTAATGTATATTTATTTATATATTCTTTATTGCACAATAAAACTTTGTACAAGTAGCGAGCTTTATGCCATATGGCATTCTCTACCGGCTAACCATTAGGTGAGAACAGAAAGCGTATGACGGGTAGTGGTGGTGAAAAATATGGGACATAATTATTGTAAGATACTGAAATAATAATACACATATAGTACATAAATTTTTAATTTATATCAAAACAACGATAAGTATTATGAGATATTAGTAACTATCAAATTATTTGTAACTAGAGCTAGTTTTGTTAACTTAACAAATAATTAAACAATGTATACTGAACTCTAAGGAAAGATTATGAAATTTTTGGACTTTTTAAGCAATATGTGTATAGTAGAAACTCGATTATCCGGAACAAATAAAACCAGAAATATTCCGTATAATCGGAAATCCGGATAACCGGTTACGAAGTTAAATCAAACAATAATTGAGTTTTAATATTTTATTTTTATTATGTAATAATTTTTACATACGTCATTTAGACAATACGATATTAAAAAAATTACGAGCTATAAAGATAAAAGATTACATAAAATCTATGTAATTTAAAATTTTGGTTAAAAATAATTAGTTATTAATCTTTCACGTGATGAATCAAATCTTTTCATTCAAGTCCAAGTCGCAGATGCCCTTTCATTTGTAAAAACTGTATGAGATCCGATTGATGAATGTGGAAGAAGCGAAAGAGGTTTGTTTGAATCGAAGCACTTGGCGTTCCATTGTTTCTGCCTACCCTAACGGGAGACAGGCGTGACAGATATATATGTATGTATGTATCCGATTGGTCCTGTATTGTCCGGATAATCGAATATTCGGTTAATCGATGTTCGGATAACCGAGATTCTACTGCACTGATAATCTAGTACAATATATTGCTTCGAAAAAAAAGCGACCTCTATCGTGAACACACACAAATCAATAAACAACGGAATGTTATTCTAATATTATAAATGTGAAAGTGAGTTTGTTTGTTAAATTATAGCGCCTTAATGACATAACCAATTGTCAATACAAAATTGGATATAGGTACACGTATTATGTGAGATGGAGAAAGACATAGGCTTTTTTTTATCCCGGTCCATAAACAATATGTGTATGTGTATATAATAATTACCTTTATTAAACATGGTTATTGAGTCTGACGTACGATGACACGGAGAAATTACTGAAGGTTACGTATTAAATTACAACTTATGAAAATATTATTAAAATAATGTATATTGTGTAAGTGTGTGTAGGATATATCGGTTGTATAACCTTAACTATATATGTGTATGTATGTGTGTGTGTGTGTGTGTATGTATGTATATGTGTATGTATGTATATATATATGTATATGTATGTGTGTGTCTATGTGTGTATGTATGTGTATATGTATTAATGTTGTTATTATATTCATAACCAGAACAAATTGTAATATAGTGCCAACACCGTGGGGTGAGGACCTGGTGATCTGTAACACAGGTTTATCCTACTTCAGACACCAGTTCTTCACAATACATTAAATTATGTAACCTCCAAAAATAAATGTATTAGAATATAATAGATGTACAACTGGTATTGTGAAGAGAATAAACTTTATTATTATTATTATTAATAATTAATTTAACTCTTAAATCTTAAAATCATTAAAGGAAATTTCTAATGTAAGTAGTATATTCATTTATTTTAACATTTATTATATAAGTAGGTAGGTATCATATGCATTTACAGTGTATGTATTTATGTAATATTTTATTATATATTTTAATATTTTATTTAACTGTATATTTGTTTATGTATTAATAGTTGTAGCACTTCAGCTGCCCGCTAACGACATGCTTTCTTACTGTACTCGGTTGACTGGAAGAGATCTCTGTCAGAGATAAGTCCACGCTTGCTCACAACATTTATAAATACATTATTTTATATGTAACTTACAAGTGCAATAAAGAATATATATATAAAAATAAATAATGCATTTACAATACAGTGAGAAACCATGTCGTTAGCGAGTAGCTGAAGTGCTACAACTATTAATACATCATTTGTTAGTACATTATTTGTGGGGGGAAAGGGATTGTTGGGGACTAACTGACCTATTGCTAGCAATACACCCTGTCACGTCGACCTTCACGCGGTTCCCCCTGGAAACCATCGTGGTTAATTCTAGTGGAATTCGTCACGATGGGCTAACTGGCCTACTTTTATTGTCACCTATCATCCTTCACTGGTGCCCCGCCAGCGTATACCGTTAGCGCAGGCGGGGTTACCATTCCATTATCATCCATTAAAAAATATATTATTTGTTATAATAAGTAGTCTAATAAGTAATATGTATTTATTGTTTTTGTACATTATACGCAAAAAATATTAATTCACTCTTGCGCCACCTGCCCACTTCTATCTGTTCTCCTTTAACCAAAGATTGTCTGTAAGAGATCGCCCCGGCAATAAGACCGCCTTTTGTACCTTTATATGTATATTGTAACCTGTACTCCACGCTACTGTATTTCACTTGAATTGTTTATATGTCAATGTATATTTTTACGTGTTTGGTGCAATAAAGAGTTAAATAAATAAATAAATATCCCGGTTAGCAGGACAGACGTGCAGATAAAAAAAACTAGTAATAATAATAGGTTACGATTCGTCTGTCCGTCCGTTCGTCCATTGTTCTCTAGACTGTGTATTGCACATTCACAAATACGAAGTCTGTTTTGTGACAATTTCAAAATCTTATACTATTATGTTTCTATTGTTGGCAAGACGATAATGATTGGTACATATAACATTCTTTATGCCGACTTCAAAAAAGTCTCCCGATTTGTATGTATTTTTTCACTAATCTTTACCCGCGACCTCGTTTCCGTGACCGGAATATTTTGAATGTCTTGGACAAAAAAACTGTTCCGCTGCAAAATACCATGGACTAGTAGCCTCATTGCTAGCAATATACCCTATATTGCTCTAATATTAAAATGTCTATTTCATTTCACTAAGAAACACCTTTATTCTAAGAACAAATATGAACTAAATTTCCATGAGAATTCATCATCATATCGGCCTTTAACTGTCCACTGCTGAACCTGAAGTCTCTCCTTTGGGAGGTTTTGCCAGTAGCTGCCACACTTGGCAGACAAGTTGGCAACCGCAGTTAAGCTTTACATATATTTTAAGAGGGACGCTGCTGCCCATCCCTTGCCCTCCCTTAGTCGCCTCTTACGACACCCACGGGAAAGGAAGGCCTATTTAAGGCCGGGACCACACGGCCAAGAATAGGTAATATATATAAATATATATATTGGTTGCAAAATCTATATACTGGGGGGAAAGAAAGAAAGAAAGAAAGAAAGAAAAAGCTTTATTTTACAAGAAATATGCGACGGCACCCACACAGGGGTTAAAAAAAAAATCCATATATTAAGAATTATAATAAAGAAATAACACAAAAAAATATTTATAAAAAAATATATATATATATATAAAATTAAAAAAGAAAAATAAAACGATTCGTATTATAACAATTTCATCAAAAATGAGTGTGTGTGTGCGTGCGTCGCAATACCTGCAAAATGAGGCGCGTGCTCAGCATTATGCTGTAGTGTCAGGGACACTACAGCGCTGATTTTCAGCACGCGCCTCGCCAACCCGCGGGGTCCTAATAATAACAATAATGTTTGAAAACTTGACCAACACAGTGGTGTGCTTAAAGTGTATTGTGTAAAAAATAAAAATAAAATAAATATAATAAATTTGTAGTGGGTATATATTGAATGATAAATTGTGACGTTGTCAATGTTGAATAATAATAATCACACGAAAAACATAAAATACGTATAGAATAAGTATTTTCCTTTTACGTAGTAATACTACAGACGCTAAAGAAACTAAATATCGAATATAGTTGAATCATCCCCACATTCAATCGAGGACCACAAAAACTAGGTAAGTACTTACCTCCTTGAGTTGCAATATGCTCCTCTTGCAATATGCAATATGTCAATAATGTAATCAATAGCAACCAGTAATTAGATAATAATAAAAAATATATTATTGATTGTGTATTATATTAAAGTGAAATAACTGTTCATATATGTATCATAGAACTCCTAGCTGCACCTAATAGGATACTCATTAGAAAGTCTCTGGTAAGGAAGATCCCGGACAGAGACCAGCAATTTAATTGGCTTTTTGTTGGTGTAGATAATATTTTTTTAGATTACTCTTAAACGTATGTACATTTCTCAGGTTTCGAATTGGTGGAGGAAGATCATTCCAACAGCGAGTGGCAGCGTATTTGAAACTGCCCCTGAAAGCAGCCGTCCTATATCTTGGAATGCTGAATACATTCACAATTGGACGAACAACATACTTGTGATAGTTTTGCCTCCACGACAGTTTTTCGTGCAAGTAGCGTGGTTGGCCAGTAGCAATTACTCCGAAGAGTAAAGTAGCAAAATGAAGCTTTCTCCTGGCGGACATTTTGATCATATTATTTTCGTTCAAGAAAGGTGTGATGTGACTCCTACATGGTATATCAAAACAAAATCTCGCACAAGCATTTTGGACGCGCTGAATTAAGCGTTCCGTTCTTTTTAAGAGACAAGGACCGTATACAACGTCCCCATAATTTAATTTCGATAGAATGAGCGAGTCAACTAGTCTTTTTCGTAATTCTATTGACAAATATTCGCGTAATTTATATAAAACTTTTAGTCTATAAAAACACTGTCGTACAACATCATTAACATGATTTTCAAAGCGTAGCTCTGGGTCTATAATGAGTCCCAAATTTCGTGCCGAGTCCACCTGATGAATCGTTTCATTCATTATTTTTACAATCGGTTTCGTCAATGCGATTTTACTAATTTGCTTTTTGTTTCCTAGAATCATAAATTTGGATTTTATCGGATTTAGTGCTAATGTATTATTTTCCGCCCATGTAGTA